ATGTAAGGAAATGACGATAACATCATAAATGAAGTGAGTTTCGTGCATCATCAATCGTCAGGCTAATACAGGAAAGTATGTTGAAACCAGAATTGCATGAAGTAATACAGTTGTGAATAATTTTATAAAAACATGACCTTTAAAATTTGTAGTCTTTGTAGTACTTTATAATGAGGTGAGAGTGACCGTGGTTCTTGTTTATACATCCAGCAGTTTGCTCTTTATGTTGTGACAACTTAAAAAGAGTCCTTGAACTTAGAGGTGAATTACGTATTTTTCTTTTGCGAAGATACAACTGTTCCAATTTCCTTAACTTTTATTTCCCGTAGTAATAAATAGCTATGAGTAGTATGAAACCTAGTACATATTTTCTAAAATTCTGTTGATTTAAGGTAAAAATAACATTTTAACTGAGTGAAAAAGAAACTGCTTTCTGAAAGAAACTTTGCTACGGGGAGATGATTTTGAAAACATGCTGGAAAATATTTTTATTGTTATGTGATTTTTCTGGCCAAAAATAGTGTTGTATCACCTGGAAAAACTCTCATATTGACACACTTAAATTACTTGGAAACAGTTTCCTTAGATTTAAAGGCATTTAATAAAAATGTGAAAAGGCTAAACTTTCTAATTAGCTTATAAACTGATTGATATCATGAAAAACAGAAATTTACCAGATGAATTTTGATAACGATTTTGCATAATTACGAGATAGGATAAGTTAGTATCCTGATTAGTTCAGCTAAGCTACAGTCTACTCCTCCTGTTTGAGTCTACGTGCTCTTTGTAAGATATTTTTTCAATTGCATCAGACTCTATAACTTAGTATCAAAGTAGACTGGACCTAGAACGAAATCCTGGAATTATCGTATCACGATGAATTAATGAAGCTTAGTCAGTCACCTCGCTCTTGTTAAAAATTGGTAGTGTTTTTAGTAAAAGTGAAAAGGGTTTTTTATACCTTTAATAAATAAATGAAATCATTTAAAATATATTTCTTACTTCATTTTAGCTTATTCTTTTAACTTTGTGTATTTAGTACAAATAATGTTAATAGTATACATATATAATTTATATTTACATAAATATCCACACATCAAGGTTACATACTCAATGACTTTTCACTAACTGGTTGTACATTCAGAACATTTGGAAATCAGTAGATTAGGTGGTACCTAGGATTTGTATATTTACAGTTTATAAAATGCTTTTGCAGGTGTGTGCTAACTTGAACCTCACCAACAACCTTTTGATGCAGAGACGTGTCAATTTTGTCCATTTTACAGATGAGTCTTAGTCATTTCGTAGAAGAGAAGCTCAAGGTCAGAGCATTTAAAAAACTTGCTCAGGGTCACACAACTAGTTAATGGTGGCTCCTCAACTCCAGCTCAGGTCTTTTTACTGGGTAGTGCTCTCTCCATTCATTCTACTCATTGCTGCTCTACTGGCCATTAAGTTTTTGATTTCCTGCCCTAATCTGTCTCTGTTTATTCTTCCGAGTCCTCAGAAAGTAGCTTTTCGTATTTTGTCCAAGTTTCTAGTTGTAATTAGTGAGAGAGAGACTATACAAGTAAAATCAGAAACACTGGGAACAAAAGGATGGAACCAGAAAGACAATATATTAGTGATGAAAATCCATTGTAGTAGATGGCCCAGAATACATTTGATGAATACATTTGATGTGGAAAGCCATGCAGAAGAACCATAGAAATAAAAAATCCAGGCAGATGTATCATTTGAATATTGGCATGAGGGCAGGCTAGAGATGAATGTTGTGGAAAATATAGATATGTATGTATGTATAGGCATGTGTGATGTGCATGTAGTTCTGTGCTTTAGTAAACTTGGCATTAACAGGAATAATGAATTAAGAACTACAGGGTTTATTTAGATCATTGTTTTGATTTTAATATAACTTCATATAACGTGGCCTTCTGTTTTGATTGTAACATACAACAAAATTAACAAAACGGAAGACTTTTATATAGAAATGAAAAGTTAAAGGTTGCTTCTCTGCTAAAAGTCTGGAGGTAAGCTGAGTTTAACATACCAACTTGAAAATGATTGGTTCAAAAAAGTGAATCAAAAGTATGGTATGGTTTTAGACATCATTTTCTAGGTTACGATCAGTGCCATAATGTAGGAAAAGAGATTTATTTAACAAATTAAAATCTGGTTTTAACAGGTTTTCATGGAAGTTATGTTTTATGTATAGCTTCTGGGCTTTTTCATATTATAAATTCAAGGCATGGCTTGATCTTCTCTCAGCCTAGTGGCAACACATCTGGAAATACCATGCATCACTAAAACTTGCATAGAAATTTTGCGTACTTTGAAATATTGCATGTATGATTGTACAGCTCCTTTAGTATTCACTGGCATATTAAACTAAGATGGAGCTGATGGGTGTATTATTGTCTGTGTTAATAATCCACAGATGGAAGACTCCCTCAGTTCAAATGAATACAGTTCTTACCTCTAATTGTTCATCGGGTCAGTGATCTATTGTGCTCACAGGAGGAAAATGAAAACGGCGCAGTTAAAATTAGAACCAGTAACTGGAGTTACTATACCCTTCCCCCTTTTTTTTAATTATTAAGTGGGAAGATCTTCTGAAACTTATGATAGTTGCAGTGATTTAGAAGATGCTGAAGAATTATTTTGGGCTTGTCACATTTTAAAGAACCCCAGACTTGGGGTCAAATCATTTGGATTCTAGTGTCAGCTCTGTTCATGTGCGGTGCCAGCACAGGCAAGTCAGTTCAGCTTCCCATAGCAAATGTGTCCTGGTCTGTTTTGGCTTGATCACAGATGATTAAGCTTCTATATAACATATTAGCACAAAGAAACAAATGGTTTCTTTAGTTTTAAAGATAGGGCTACAATGGTGTAGTTAGAATACCTTGAAAGGCTTGTCCACACCGCAGTAGGCTGTGGGGCAGCCTGAGGAGCTGGTGAGTCAGTGTACTCTGCCAAACTGGTCAAGCTGGGCAGCATTAAGGATCCTTTAGCTCCAAGCGATCAGCTCTCCTCTGGGTTGCACAGCCATCCTTTTTCTTCCGGTTGGTTTTAAACAAGGATGTGCAGAATGAAGAGATTTCAGTTTAACAAGATCTGTATTAAACTCCACCTGAATATAAGTAAAAATTCTTTTAACCAGTCTCACTGTAACCCGCCCACTCTAGTTTTGTCATTTGCTCTGTCAGTCTCATCTGTCTATGTTCATGGCATGCTCAGTGTTTGTAGCTGATGGGCTACTTTCTAGTATGTCAGCATACTTCTGTCTCTACCAGCTGAGTTGTGTGCTTAGCTAGAATCAGTTATGCTCATTCCCAAAACTTTAATTACATTTGTGTGTACCCAGTGACATGAGGAGCAATTATTTTTCCTGATCTCACTGGGTAAGAGGGCTTCCTTACATGTAATAGTTGAACATGGGCAACCTGCTTGTTGAAATTGAACCTGCTTACTTCTTTGGAAAACTGGGGGTTTGCAGTTTGAGCGTGCTGTCTGTGTGGTTTCCTATGAATCCCTCCAATGTTTCCTTTATCTGTGTTTTCTCATCTTAGAAGTGAGAATGATGATTCTTCCTTTAAGTTTACAGAAAAGAGTTAAATTTAAGCAGTATATGAGTATGAAAACAGTAGAAATAAATGTGCTATATATTATAGATGAAATAGTCTTATTATTTATAATGGGGAGTCTGTATAACCCATGGTAATTTAAAGAAATACTCTTTTTAGACTCAGGTTTTGTGTACAGAATCAGGTAACTTTCTTTTCTAATTTGCATTTTAAAACACTATGGTTTGAGGAGTTTCCCAAACTCTGAATAAACTAAACTAAACTTAAACCAATAAGTTTAAACTAAAATGTAAGATGATGGCTTTAACCTCAGTGGTTTGGGAGATGTTGATGTTAAAGAATTAGTATGTCGCAGGCCCTGTGGGATATTGCAGTTTAAAGGACCCTAAACTTGGAGTCAGACCAACTGGTCTGATATCAGTTGGGATCTTGATAGTACTTGTCTTTGCTGCTCTGATCCAGATCTGTTTAATCATTGGTGTATTTCATAGGGATTTATAAAAGATTTCTTGGACTAATAAAAGGCAAAAAAGGCATTAAATTTGATTTGCATAAAAACCACTAGCTGTTTTTAGTACTCTCAGTTTTCATGGATGTTAACTTCTTTAGTTAACAGTTTTCATTTTGGAGAATGAAACCACTATCTTATGATTCTTAATTGTGTGTGAGTTATCCTTTAATTGGTAATTAGCTTTTGTCAGCGGTGTACATACACATGCATGTTTTGGAGTCATATGCACTTGAATTTGAATCCTGGTCTACGATGTACTAGATGTGTGACCTTTGGAAAGTTACGTAAACCTCTGTTTTATTATCTCTGTAAGAGCATGATAATATATACCTTATAGGGTTATTGAAGATAAAAAGAGGATGTGTGTGAAGTAATATAGGCATATGGGATTGTAGGCACTTGATAAATATTCCTTTTCTCTCTGGTTCAGTTTTAAAATTTTGTTCTATATCATGGATAAAAACAGCAAAAATTATGTAAGCTACACATTTATTCACTTGATGTGGTAGGTCTAGAGACCATTTGCAATGAGAGTAAGAGGGAAGTAACATTTACTGCTGTGAGTTTCTATCATTTCTTAAGTTAGATCCTTCATTTCCTAAGTCCCAACTTACGTCACCAGATTTTTAGAATTTGAACATTTAGTTTTATATGGCCCTGGGTACTGACTTGGAATGTATGGCCAGAAATTGGAGAGGAACCAGATGAAGGCTGTAAAAGGATAAATAAAGTTTATTGTGGTCATCTTGGTCCAAGTAATTGTCTTTCAAAAGTAAGTCTAAGTAAACATCACTTCTCTTGTACTACACAGAGATGGGGGGGAAGAAAACGACATGTACCTTAATGTACTGATATATCTCTCTGGTTAAAAAAATTGTATCGTCTTTCTTTTGTTTGTTTCTCAGCCTCTATTCCATCCCTTACCCACCTTTGTCGATTGGAAATTCGGTCCAGTCTAAAACCAGAACAACTGCAGTCTGACAGTTTTATCTGTCAGTTGCCACTTCCCAGAAGCCTACATGATTATTTGCTCTACGCAGAGGTTCTGAGGATGAATGAAGTTCCAGAGCTGGCAGTTATTCAAGATGGAGAAATCAGAGAAGCTACTTAACACAGCTCATGTCTTAACCTGAAAACCAAGATAAGGAGCCATGGAGTACAAATTCTTCATGATTTTATGGTCACAAAAGATGGTTTTTGTTTGTCTGATTGGTTAGGTATTAGAGGGCAGTAATTTAATGCAAATGTTTACAGCTGGGCTTCCCGGTCAAAAAGTATTGTAAACCTCACTCATGTTACTTTATTGTAGTTTCATCACCAGTACAATTTATGTTGTAATACTCATTTACGTAACCATTTTCTGCTTTATTCTGTTACAGAACTGTGATGCTACTTCTAGTGCTAAACATGGCATATTTCCACCTATAGTTCTGTGTTTACCTAGGGCTAGAGTTTAGAATGGAATGCATGAATCTTCACTGGAAGTATACACACAGTGGGGTTGAATCTATTATTATTTTATTTGAGGTTGAATATCTTTTATATTTATAAAAGAACTATCTTATATTCCATTCTCTTAATTCAATCTCTTTTATCAAGAATTGATATTCATTGGCTTTTTATGATAAACTCAGGGGAGAATTCTTTTTTAAAAGCCTATAGAAAATGAATCATTTTGCTGTTTTTTTTTTTCCAGTTCCTTGATAACTCTCTGGCTAAAAAAGACTCCCATTTCTGCAAAGGCAAGAAAAGATCTAAATTCAAAGATATGTTCAGTTGAAAGAAACTTAGGTTGGTATTGAGATAAATAAGCATTTTACCACACTTACAGTGCTAATTAGGAGACTGAGAGAGACATTTCTGTGGTACCATCTTTAAATAAAGAAAGGTATGTATTCCTTTGTCACTCAGTATCAAAACGTTGAAGCTCCATTCAGCCTCTAAATCAGAGGGCAGCTTTGATCCTATGAAGCAATGATTGGTAGTTCTGTTAATATTATAGTGTATTTCCTTTTTGCTATCTAGATAGGTTATCAAATAGTCTATGAAAATTAAACCTTGGAATCCTAAGTTAGTGAGACATTGCCTCATTGGTGTTAAAATTACTCAATCTGAATCTAGAGTCAGAGAGGACTAAACACTCAAGTGAGCTTTGATAAAAGTCTGTGGGCACTAGCCTTGAGAGAAAGGTAGTGAAAGCAGGCAACTAGAGATGGAGTCCAAAGCAGGGGAAAGAGCCTGTCCTTTTAAGAGCCTGTGGCTTAAAGTAGATGGAAGTGGGTCAGTCATATTCATCTCTGATAGGCTTTTCCTGTTTGATGAAAGCAGTGATGACGGTGTACCATTTGATAGAGACATTGTTAATGTCCAGAGGGTTGACTGAACTTAACTCAGATTAGAGCTATAGTTGCTGCCTTTGGGGCGGAGATAGAGTTTGAATATGGGTATACGAGCAGAAATAAGGGTAGATATAGAAGAACAGGTGGAAATTCTGATAGTTAATAAAGAAATTCTAAAAAAGTATATGCTATATGATATTTTTAAAATGTTGTCTGTTTCTTTATTTTTCCAAACCCCAAGTCTCTGATTTTAACATAACCAGTTTTTTGTTAGGGTCCAATGTACATAGAATGTTTACATTTAAGGGTGAATCTTTTTGTGTTTTCATGTTCAAATATGTAATAAAAATTCAACTATTTGTAACTTATCATTAAGCTCTTATTCTTAAAAATCTGAAAATAAATATTTTAGAGACACTGAAAACCCTTAGTATTTAAAACATAAATGATTTTACTTACTGTATACATTGGACTATTAGACTATTTTATAATAAAGTATTTATGATTTTTATGACTAATGGCAAGGACTCAGTGAGAAATCTAATCGAAAATCATCTAAAGGTAAGTAAATTATAGTTGCAGCTTCTGATCAAAATGATGCATCTAGTTAGCATGAACTTTAAGCTTTTGCCCTGTGTATACCATGTTGCTTTAATACTCTTAAAGTCACAAGGAACCTAATGAAGAACCCCATACAGTAATTCTCTGATGATGGTACATATTACCAGAGCAGGACACAAATCAGTTTTAGTAACAGTTGCCAAAATTTTACCCTTCCTTGATCTGATGTTATCCTTCAAGTGTATTTCCTGTGGATCCTTCCTGTCATAGGACATGTTTCTGTGATCATTTGATGTAATAGTGGTAACCTGAACACTGTTTTTTATTTTTTTAATTGAATTGTAATTGATTTACAATGTTGTATTAGTTTCAGGTATATAGCAAAGTGATTCAGTTATACATAAATATATATATAATATATATAATTTCTTTATTAACTATATATAATATATACAAATATATATGTATTCTTTTTCATATTCTTTTCTATTAGAGGTTATCAAAATATTGAATATAGTTCCCTGTGCTATACAGTAGGTCCTTGTTGTTTAACTGTTATATATAGTAGTTTGTATCTGTTAATCCAAACTCTTAATTTATCCCTCTCCCCTCTTTCCCCTTTGGTAACCATAAGTTTGTTTTCTGTGTCTGTGAGTTTCTTTTTCTTTTGTAAATAAGTTCATTTGTAATCATTTTTTTTAGATTCCACATTTAAGTAATATCATATTTGTTTTTCTCTGTCTGACTTACTTTACTTAGTGTGATAATCTCTAGGTCCATCCATGTGGCTGCACATGGTATTATTTTATTCTTTTTATGGCTGAGTAGTATTCCATTGTGTGTGTGTGTGTGTATATATATATATATATATATATATATATATATCTCACATCTTCTTTATCCATTCATCTGTGGATGTACATGCTACTATGAACATTGAGGTACATGTATCTTTTCAAATTAGAGTTTTCATCTTTTCCAAATATATGCCCAGAAATGGGATTGCTGGATCATATGGTAACTCTATTTTTAGTTTTTCAGGGAAACTCCATGCTGTTTTCCCTAGTGGCTGCACCAGTTTACGTTCCCACCAACAGTGTAGGAGGTTCCCTTTTCCCCTTACCCTCTCCAGCATTTATTATTTGTGGACTTTTTAATTGATGGCTATTCTGACTGGTTTGAGTTGATACCTCATTGTTGTTTTGATTTGCATTTCTCTAATAATTAGTGATGTTGAGCATCTTTTCATGTGCCTGTTGGCCATCAGTATGTCTTCTTTGGAGAAATGTCTATTTAGGTCTTTGGCCCATTTTTTTTATTAGGTTGTTTTTTTTTTGATATTGAGCTATATGAGCTGTTCCTATATTTTGGAAATTAATCCCTTGATCACATGATTTCTAAATATTTTGTCCCATCATTTGTAAATATTTTCTCCCATTCTGTAGGTTGTTTTTTCATTTAAACATCGTGTCTTTGTTTCTCTCTCTCTCTTGCCCAAGTAGCAAATGTCCTGATATGCAGCTTTCTGGTGACCCTACTTCCCAGAAATCAAGTTACATATGTACCTCTGTGTCCTGTGACCACCTATGACATTGATAATCTTTGAAAGGCAGCCTAAGTATCATTATATGTCACATGACCAGATGATATCTCTGACTTTACATTTGTTCTTCCAACCTAAGTCTACCTATAAACCTGCATGAAAATTGTGATGCTTTATAGATCTTCAGGTATTGTGTCAGGTACAGTTTGAAGACCTATGAGTATTTTTGATTGGTTACTCCCTAAAATTCCCCTATAATTATCTTGGCCCTCAGAAACTTCTTGTAAATAATAACTGTAATAAGAATGTAAATAAATATATGTCTTCTCTGGAACAGTGGACTTGGAGAAATATAGAAAGACATTCTATATCCCATCAGCATGGGATATAGAAAGAAGTTGAGAAAATCCATCTAAAAGTTTGCCTTTTACTTTTATACTTTTCTATATTCTTAGAGATATATTCCTCTAATTATATTTCTTGATTAGTTATAGAAATATTTGTTTGATGAACTCTCAGTACAATTATTGCTAGCAGGTCCCTAACACTGTTGTGGAAAGATTTTAAATGGTAGGAATGGTTGGTTGAAGTTGCTTGTAATGTGGCCATTTTCAGTTTTATGATGAAGTGTTTCAGATCTAACAATTTGGGGAACATTATAACCAGTAAAGACTGCCTTCTTCCAGTTTCATGGGTTTGTCCTCTGTATAAGGTAGATAGAAGCTCAGCCCACTGGCTTATCCAAATACTTATTTTAAAGAGGATCTCTAAGCCAAGGGGATTTGTAAAACTTTTCCTGTGAAGTGCAAACATAATAATAGCTGCTCCTTTGGTACTGTTAATTCTCCTGAATTTCCTGTGCTAGAGCACTTGCCTCCTCCGTTCTCTCTTATCCCAAACAGCTAGTCACACGAAACTGTCAAGACTATAAATGAGAGCCCAGACCAGGAGATTCCATCACTCATGACTCTATGTGACCTGCGTAGCTATCTAAAAGATAACGCAGAGTGGGTGTCCCTACATCAGGAAAGAAGTGCTATATTCTGATTGGAGCTAATGCTGGATCTCTGAGTTTACACCTTCTCTCTAGGAAAAAGCGGTGTTTATGAATTAAGGTAAATATGGGCTGTGTTTGAAGGCTTAGATGCTATCATAATGATTTTATAAACATACTTATTTTTTTCTCTTCCTCTTTTTTCATTTTTTAACAAAACGTTTAAGGAAAATTTCATATTTCTGTGCGTGACTGTTGAGATTTACTTTTTACTTTCTCTTGCATTGTTTGTTTTTCTGTTTGAGGCTAAATTAGTCTGTCTTCATCTGTATTTATTATTATCATTGTTATTAAATAACAGGTGGTCATTGAAACAGAATACCTAGCAGTAAGTAAAATGATTTTATCTTCTGTTGGAGTCAATAAACCCTGTGGTTTTCATGAGAAGGAACTGATTATGCTTAATGTTTTTTGTGACATATTGGTAGAAAATGTATAGCCTTATTTACAACATATCAGTAATTTACACTGAGAGGAAGCCAATTATATTTTTTTATCAAAATATATACTTTGAGCAGAGATTTTAAGTACATATTTTCCTCAGTTGCTTTACTGAATAAAACATTTAAATTTTAAGTAAGGGACATCTGTTAACCTGTCCCTTTGCTAATAAAAAGCTTTTAAAGATAAAAGATAAAAATCTTCTAAAAAAATTCTCATATAGCCATAACAATAATAGAATTTTAAGTGTTTCAAAGTTTAAAAGAAAAAAAATCTCTTAAAACTCAGGAGAAAAAGGGAGGAAACAAGATGGAGCCATAATCCTGTTATCCAGACCCAGTAATTAATGTTTACCTTTATGTTGGAATATTTTCTTTCTCTTAGGTTTTCAAAAATCTGTGCACAGGTTTAAGAGTGTGGTGTTTGGGGTTTTTTTTTCCCCTTATAGTTAAAGTCAGTTCACCTTTACAGTTTTGTATCCTGATCAGGCCTTTTCTTTATCCTGTTAATGATGCCTGCAGCCATGCTCAAGCTATGAATTATCACAAATTCTGAGTTGGTAGGAATGAAAAATAATGAGGCATTTCTGGGCTGATTCTTTTCATAAGACATCTGCTTAAAGCAAACAACCCCTTCCTCCTCTTTATAAAGGGTAAAAAGAGAATGGAAGTGAGGCCTTTGTGAACCCATGCTAGTCATCTGGTCTCAGCCCAGAATGGTCATGTAATTGCATTTCCTTTGCATTTCTGTGTTATAACTATCTATGTATGGTATCTATTTACAAGGAAGGAATTTAAAGTATACCATTGTTGCAGTAAAAATTAGTATCTGCATGATTTTTCAGTCTCTTGGCTTCTTGTTCATGCACAGCACTAATAGGTGAAGCAGAACAGGTGACAATTGCCATTGGCGCACTGAGACTTGTGAATAGCATCTATGTCTCTTTTACCATCAAATGGTTAGCATAACCTATTCACTGCTTTCCTATGTGGATGATCTAAGTCTATCATGAGTCATTATAAGATGCTAATTTACACTCTTTTTCTAATATGATGGAATAGGTGAAGAAAAAAGTCCATCTGGTATCTAAATATGACTATAATTTGAATCAAACAATTAAAAAGAAGGCATAATACTTTTGAGGTTATTATAGAGTATTGGATCAAATAATATGTGCTAAGATACCAGTTTCAAGCCAGAGTAGTTCCAGATATAGATGTGTTAGTTTGTAATGTGTAGCCTGGATTTTGGTTTTGACACTTAAAAATTATTTATTTTAGACAGTAAAACATTCTAATTCTTCTGGTCTTCATCTTGCTTGTAATTACTTGGTTTTATCAAGCCCACTCTTAAATATCATAGTGTGGTATTTGTTTATCTGTGTTCATGTAAGTGCATACTTACTCCTTTTTATCTTTTTATTATGGAAAATTTCAAGCATATAAAAAATAGAGAATTGTATAATGAACTTCCATGTTCCCATCACCCAGATTTGATAATTATTAACTCATGGCCACTCATTTCCATTTCCTCACCAATTCCCTCTCTTTCATAACCATTTTGAAGCAAATTCCAGACATAATATTGGTAAATATTTTAGTATGTGTCTTTAGAAGTCAAAGATTCCCTTTTAAAAAAACATAACAATGATACCCTTTTAAAAAACATAGCAGTAATACCATCATTGTATCACCTTAAAAATGAATAATTTCTTAATACCAAATATCCTGTCAGTATTTACATATTTTTAATTGTTCTGTAGCTTTTTA